CATGAATTGTGGGATACTTCCCCAGTGAGTGCTCAGCTAGCGGTCACTTCGGCTCACCCGGGTAACGCAAAAATACCACGTGACTGCCAAATCAAACGTATTTGGGGCTGGCCCGAGTAGACCCAGGTTAACTTGGGGAAGCAAATCGAACGCACTATACCCCAGTCTGAAATTACCCCAGCACGTCGTGCGCATGCGCAGTAGCACTGCGTGTAAAGCGCAGTAGCATTGGGAAAATGAGACTGCCGCAGTCGCAGTCAGCGTTGTACCGTAGAGTTTGGACCGTAGTGCCTGCGATAACTAATACATATACTATACTATTTTAGCTCATAATAAGCAGGAGATATCAAATAATTATGTTACAATCTACTACTACGAATCATTCGATCCGCGAATCGAATCATTCGATCGGTGAATCGAATCATTCGATTCACGGAATTACGTGCTTTCCAGCTGGCCGGCTTTGTCCCAAGCCACGGCTTACTTTGATCACGGGCCCGACCGCTACGACCGCTGACATGACGTTCCCGTCTCTGTTTTGTACATTGCCCCTGACACTGGTTGCGTTCCCGCATTGCCATCACTTCCTGGCGTGTGGGATTTGCCCGCTTACAATATATTTGCATTCTGCGGGCCGGCCGGTGAGCACAAGACACCTCGATCGCTCCCTCTTTCTCTCCCTCCCTCCCCCCTCACTCCCTCTCTCACTTACTTACCACGCTTCGACCCCCTCCTCTCCCTCCTCCTCACCCTCCCCCTCCTCCACCACCTCTCCTCCTCCTCCTCAGCCACTTCTCCCTCCTCCTACCTCCTCCCCCTTCTTCCCCTTCTCCTTCCCCACCACCTCCTTCCCTTCTCCACCAGCTTCTCCTCGCTCTACTTCCTCCACATTCTCCCACTCTCCTCTACCTCTCCACCTTCTCCCACCATCCTCCGACCTCCTCCCTCTTTTACCTTCTCCCCTCCACTAACATCCTCTTCCCCTACTTCCCAATCCCCCTCCCCTCCACCACATTCTCCCCCTCCTACCTCCTCCTTCTCTACCTCTTCCCCTCCTCCCCCACCACTTCTACCCTCCTCCTCGACCACCTACCCTCCTCCTCGACCTCCTTCCTGTACTCCTTTCTACCTCTTCCTCCTTCCCCTCCTCCACTACCTTTTCCCTCGTTCTCATACCTCTTCTACCTTCCACCCTTCTCCCTCCTCCTAGCCAATACCTTCTCCACGTCCTCTACCTTCTCTCCTTCCTCCTGTACACCTTTCTCCCTCCCATGTACCTCGTCCCTCTGAAACTGTGAAACTCTCATGACTCTGAATCAAATGATTCGATCCGTGAATCGAATTATTCGAGTCCGTGAAATCGAATCATTCGATCCGTGAACTCCGAATCATTCGATCCGTTGAACGAATCGTCGATCGAATCGATCATTCGATCCGTGAATCGAATCATTCGATCCGTGAATCGAATCATTCGATCCGTGAATCGAATCATTCGATCCGTGAATCGAAGTTTATCGCGATTTCGTGAATCGAAGCATTCGATCCGTGAATTGAATCTTTCGATCCGTGAATTGAATCATTCGATTCGTGAATCGAAGCATTCGATCCGTGAATGTTATATGTGATAAAATCAACCATAAAACAAAAAATCTAATTATGAAACAAAATACATGCCATAAATGCAGTGCATTGATTCAATGGTAACTTACCTTTGTCAGATATAGTTGTACAAGACAATAGTGGGCAAATTTTAATCAGTATTAATGGCTATAGCATCACAAATCAGGAATAAACAGAGAATAAACACATATGTTGTTATCTACTCCTGATAATGTGAATAATTCAACTATACCCCTCCTACTCCTTTTCCCCCTCCTCCTCCTCCTACTCCCACATCACCTTCTCCATTCGATCTCCATCACCTTCTCACCTCTTGCTCATCTATCACTGTCTCCTCTCCTCCTCCTCCTCCTCCTCCTCCTCCTCCTCCTCCTCCTCCTCCTCCTCTCCTCCTCCTGCCCCCTACTCCTGCTCCTACTCCTCCTCCTACGCCTCCTTCATCACCTCCCCTCCTCCTCCTCCTCCACCTACTCCAACACCTTCTCCACTCCTCCTCCTCCTGCCTCCTACTCCTTCTCCTGCCCCTCCTCCTCCTCCCCCTACTCCAACACCATCTCCCCTCCTCCTCCTCCACCACCTACTCCAACACTTTCTCCCCTCCTCCTGCTTCCTACTTCTCCTGCCCCTCTTTCTCCTCCCTCTACTCCAACACCGTCTCCCCTCCTCCTCCTCCTCCTCTTCCTCCACCTACTCCAACACCTTCTACCCTCATCCTCCTCCCTCCTCCCACACCTTCTCCCCTCCTCCTCCTCCCCTCTTCCTCCCCCTACTCCATCACCTTCTCTCCACCTCCTTCTTCTCCTCCTGCCCCCTACTCCTCCTCCATGACCTTCATTCGATCTCCATCAACTTCTCTGCTCCTCCTCCTCTCGCCTCCTCCTCCTCCTCCTCCCCTCCTCCTCCTGCCCCCTACTCCTCCTCCATGACCGTCTTCATTTGATCTCCATCACCTTCTCCGCTCCTCCTCCCTTCCTCTTCCTGCTCCTACTCCTCCTGCCCCTACTCCTCCTGCCCCTACTCCTCCTCCATGACCTTCATTCGATCTCCATCACCTTCTCCGCTCCTCCTCCTCCTTCTGCCCCTACTCCTCCATGACCTTCATTCGATCTCCATCACCTTCTCCGCTCCTCCTCCTCCCCCTCCTCCCCTCCTCCTCCTCCCCTCCTCCCTACTCCATCACCTTTCCCCTCCTCCTCCTGCCCCCTACTTCTCCTCCATGACCGTCTTCATTTGATCTCCATCACCTCCGCTCCTCCTCCTCCTCCCCCTCCTCTCCTCCTCCTCCACCCCCTACTCCATCACCTTCTTCCCTCCTCCTCCTTCTCCTGCCCCTACTCCTCATCCATGACCTTCATTCGATCTCCATCACCTTCTCTGCTTCTCCCTCCTTCTCTCCCATCCCTCCTCCCTCCTCCCCCTACTCCATCACCTTCTCCCCTCCTCCTCCGCCTCCTCCTCCTCCTCCACCTACTCCAACACTTTCTTCCCTCCTACTCCTCCTGCCTCCTACTCCTCCATCACCTCCCCTCCTCCTCTTCCTCCCCATCCTCCTCTTCCTGCCCCTACTCCATCACCTCTCTTCCTCTTCCTTCTCCTCCTCCTCCTGCCCCCTACTCCTCCTCCATCACCTTCTGCATTCGATCTCCATCACCTCCTCCGCTCCTCCTGCTCCTCCCCCTCTCCCCCCTCCTCCTCCTCCCCCTACTCCTCTATGACCTTCATTCGATCTCCATCACTTTCTTCGCTCCTCCCCTTCTCCCCTCCGCCTCCCCCTACTCCATCACCTTCTCCCCTCCTGATCCTCCTCCTCCTCCTCTTCTCCCTACTCCAATGCCTTCTCCCCTCCTCCTCATCCTACCCCTACTTCATCACCTTCTCCCTCTCCTCCTCCTCCCCCTACTCCTCCTCCATGACCTTCATTCGATCTTCATCATCTTCTCCGCTTCTCTCCCCCTCTTCCCCTCCTCCTCCTCCTCCTCATCCTCCTCCTCCTCCTCCTCAATGACCTCTTTATTCGATCTCTATCACCTTCTCCCCCCACCCTCCTCCTCCTCCCCCTACTCCAACACCTACCCTCTTCCTCCCCCTCCGCCTCCTCTCCTCCTCCTCCCTCTACTCCAACACCTTCTCCCCTCCTCCTCCTCCTCCTGCCTCTGCCCACAACTCCTCCTCCATGACCTTCTTTATTCGAGCTCCATCACCTTCTCCCCTCCTCCTCCTCCTCCTCCTCTTCCTCCTCCTGCCCCCTACTCCTCCTCCACGACCTTCTTCATTCGATCTCCATCACCTTCTCCCCTCCTCCTCTTGCTCCTCCTCCCCTCCTCCTCCCCCTCCTTCTCCCTCTACTCCAACACTTTCTCCTCTCCTCCTCCTCCTCCTCCTAACCCTCCTATGGGCACCAGGTTAAGATGTAATTTGCACGAACAATTCAGCTTGGTCTGAGATTACCCCAGTCTGAATTTACCCTCTTATGGGCACCCAGGTTAAAATATAATTTGCGTGAACAATTCCAGCCCGGTCTGAGATTACCTTAGTCTGAATTTACCCTCCCATGGGCACCCAGGTTAAGATATAATTTGCGCGAACAATTCTAGACCGGTCTGAGATTACCCAGTCTGAATTTACCCTCCTATGGGCATCCAGGTTAAGATATAGTTTGCGCGAACAATTCCGGCCCGGTCTGAGATTACCCCAGTCTGAATTTACCCTCCTATGGGCACCCAGGTTAAGATATAATTTGCGCGAACAATTCCAGCCTGGTCTGAGATTACCCCAGTCTGAATTTACTCTCCTATGGGCACCCAGGTTAAGATATAATTTTCGCGAACAATTCCAGACCAGTCTGAGATTACCCCAGTCTGAATTTACCCTCCTATGGGACACAGGTTAAGATATAATTTGCGCGAACAATTCTAGACCGGTTCTGAGATTAACCCAGTCTGAATTTACCTGCCTATGGGCACCCGGGTTAAGATTCCTAAACCTAACCCTAACCCTAACCCTAACCCTAACCCTAACCCTAACCATAACCCTAGGGTTAGGTTTAGGGTTAGGGTTAGGGTTAGGCGCCCCCATACTGCGCCGCCATACTGGACGTCATAAAGTGTATTTGCACCCTATTGGGCCCTAAAATAACATCAGAATATAAAAAATTTTAGGGCACAATTTATTGCCATATTGGTCTACACCGGGATATGGCGGATGGACGTACCGACTTATTAAAACGCCTCAACTGCATCTCTAAGTCAACATCCAGTTCGTAATCATGGATAGTTAGCTCCAACTCCAATTCCATTTATTTTTCCAATAAATGGAATTAGAGTATTACTTAGAGTATTAATTGCAGTATTCTAAAACTTACTACACAATCCACGCCCTACAACTAAATAACATTACCTGGCGGAAGCTCGCAAAACAGGATGTACGTAAGAAGACGTGGCGTTAAAGACAGAACTTCTTCTTGCATAGATGAAGCATAACTTATGAGTTATTAGTAAGTATTACTTATCAGTTAAATTATAAGTTATAATCTCTATGAGTTATAAGTAAGTAAAACTTATAAGTTATTTTTGCAAGTAATTCACAAGTTTAAGTTATTCGTAGTTCCAGCTAAAAGTTCTGGTTCCGGTTCCGGTTGCATCCAGACGCTTAAGAGCACGTCTCATCATAGATCTATATTAGATATATGGCTAATTTACATATATATAATATATATATACAAATAAATGTCTTTGTATATATATGTATATGGTTATAATTAGTATATACCTTAACTTTAGTCTTAGTGACCAGTGAACGCTTCCTGTTGTTTGAAAAAGGTTCAGCCGCGCGCCAGAAGGTTGTTCGCTGTACTTCCGGTTGATATCGACCTGCATGTGTGCATATTATGATAAGAGTGTTTACTGTCTAATGTCGATGGATTTACCGGTATGTCGCAAAGTTTGAGACGGTAGAGAACTAGAGTCTAGTAGAGGTAAATATTACTCAATCATACTCACAGACACTTGCCTGTGGCCGTGACTTGGAACGTTTCAATAATAAAATTATGGTAAGTAAACGGCAGTGGCTACGGGTACGGTAGCCGTATCTTAAAGGCATAATAGGCCCATCGATTATGCAATTTTTAACAAATGCTAGAGTAACTGGCACCGTGTGTAGTTAATAAGTACATTACCTTATAGCCAAACGCGTATTAGTTTGTCCAATATCACTGCTGGTTACTAAGAAATGTCTAATTGAAATCCGCAGTCCACGAAATCAGTTGACTGACAACGGATTCCGGGCAAGCAGAAGGTGCCAACTACACAGCACGCGATTGACTATATACGTATACTACAGTGTGCGATACTCGCCGCGCACGGTACCACAACTCACCGTTTTCAGTCAGTTACACTCGGTGTGTTCCTGCAGGTGACGCACTTTCCAAGCTATCGTTTGGAATCGCGGAGACTGCTGAACAACTACACCGCGCCTTTTTGAGCGGATCGGGCCCTGCATAATGCGCTTCACATCAAGAAATTCCTCAAAGTATACTGCGAAATGATCTTGCATGCTATCTATGATAGAAGCGGAGACGGCTGCGCCCTGATTGGCTGGCAGAAGTTTTAATGTGCAGGCACAGGCCCGTGCGCACCTACGCAGACTGCTTGCGCCAGTGTGCGTGCGCTAATCAGCGCCCCCCCGTTCCCGCTAGATGCCGCCTTCTTCATAGTACATGCGAAGGATCATTTCGCATGTTATTTGAGGAATTTCTGTGATTTGAGCGGGGGCATTGTGGCAGGCGATTGTCATGGGCGGTGTAGCTTGTTCAGCAGTCTTCCGCGATTTAAAAATAGTTGGCAAGTGGCTGGTCACTGAGGAACACCGGGAGTTGTAACTGATTAAAAGGTGAGTGTGGTCGATGCGCGCGAGGTTAGCACGCATGTATGTTATATATCTGTCATGGCGGCGTGTGTGGTGTAGCTGGTGGGGACTTGTTCTTGCTGGCCAGTTAGCAATATAGGGCGAATAGAGTAGAGAACATTAAGACTTTGGTAAGTAAATACTAATAGTAATATACATTTTGTGTTTATTTACGCAGTGGTGGAGGTATGCTAGCGTCGTCCGTTCATGGCCTTTTTTGGCGTTAGGGTTAGGATTAGGGTTAGGGTTAGGTTTAGGGTTATTGGTTTAGGGTTAGGTTTATGGGTTAGGGGTTAGGGTTTTTTTTTTTTTTTTTTTTTTTTTTTTTTCTTAGCTCCTCTAAACTCTCAATTCGTGAATTTATTTCGGATCAGGCGTTATTTCGTAATCTGGCGCGCACGCACATTCTTGTCAGGTTAAGTATGAAGGCGAATGGATCCCGTACGCGAGCCTCGAGACATTAAGGCAAGGCTCGACCTAACTTTTTTTTTAGTGGCCGATCGGGCACAATAAATTTATTGATTTTCATTTTTGGTGCCGAAAATGAATCTGGTGGCCGAAAAAATCAATAGAAAACATTATAAATCTTTATTTCAATCTCGTATTGTTAATATTATTTGAAATTTGGCGCGTCTGATGCACTTGCACAAGTCTTTAACAACCACACTGACAATTTGATTGATTGAGGCATCCTTGAATTATCTGATTCCAACGGCATCAAATTTCAGCGCAGAACACATTGTCTGGTTGCCTTGATACAATGTAATCATGTATGTGGCGTTGCAAACTATGGGCTATGGCTGCGGGCCGTCCAGATTTTGGACTCTGGCTAGTATCTGGTTCGGGCGGCGAACTGTTCGTCCGCCGAGGTGTACATTGTCTAGCAGAGCTGTGAGGCGCAGATACGAGTCTAAGCAATAACGTGGCTTGTTGCAGCTGCAGTAGACGGATAAACCGTGCGGCCGGTGTATGCCCGCGGTGAGACAGTTGGCTGCAGCGTGGCGTACGTGTGCCGCTCGCTCCGCGAATTGCTGCTCTCTTTTGATTGAGATTAGCGACGTAAAAGAAACATTATTTTTATCACATAGACGAACTCTTGTAAATTTTAGTGGCCCGTTCGGGCAAATTTTACTTTTGGAAATTTTGGTGGCCGACATAAATTTTTTTTGGTGGCTCCCCTGGGCACGGCGCACGCTAGGGTCGAGCTTGATTAAAGGCATAATAGCCTATTGATTTATACAAAGTTTGACCGAATGCTACAGTAACTGGCACTTCTGTAGTTAAATAAGTAGATTAGCTTATAGTAAACCGTTAGTTTGTCCATATATATTTGATAATTACTAAGAAATGTTAATTGAAATCGTAATCTGGTAATCTGGCGGCCACGCTAAATTGGTATGCCAAGCAAGAATAGGGCCTCAAATTGGTTAGGACAACGTCACATGTTTTGATAACGGGTGTTGTAGCAGAGAATTGTTTGTCCCGAGAATGCTTATATTACGACTAATTGAGCTGTAGGGATGTATCTTGGGTGTATTCTCGGTATGACGGACAAGTAAATAACCGTGGGGGCTAATGAACGGGTTACGCACATGTCTGTCAATTTCAGACATCAGGGTGTATTCGTTTGAGCATGATAGTAAATACGCGTAGTGCTCGTCTGGCTTTTCTATGTTTAGAGTCTGTTGGCTGTGGTTAGTCCGGATCCCCATAGCGTTGGCCCAATCACAAACCTATCTTCTCATTATAAAGAGCGTCCGTGATCGTACATGGATTCACGTTATTAAATGAGCTACTGTTTATACATTAGCGGTACTTGGTACTATGCGGTAGCATTGCGTACTGGCGGCGAAAATGCGAAATATGCGTGGCGTTTTTGCATTGCGTGCGAACTGTCCGGTGACTATGAATCTGTATGCAACCCGTTTCGCGTATGCGGTTTCGAAACTGTAAAAGCG